CTTCGTATGGCGAAGGTCCGCAAAGTTCGGCGGTATTTTCGGTTTGTGTTATGGCAAACGTTGTTCTGACAGAAGTTGCCATCCTCGCGTGCGCCAGGTGGAATTTCTTCCCATGTCGCTTGCAAGGACTCCCTGTCGCTCATGCCTTCCTATTCTTTGTATGCCTTTTGCTACCTTTGCGTCGTGTGGACATCAACACAGCGGTGCCTAGAAAAAAGCTGTAGCCAGAACAGAATGAACAAAACACGGAGCAAACCCTAAACGCTGTTTCGGACTGGTGAAGGAGTGTGGCATTGCTGGCATTGGTTGTGGCTTTGTGGGTCATGTGCTACATCCGTTTGCGAACTAGCGCCTTTGTCATCCAGCCATCTCAATGCCCTTTGAAACCCTCTGTGCATCCGAGCTGGTGCAAGTCGCTTGACATAGCTGGGCTAAAGCTGGGGCATTTCTGTTGGCGCCGCTCCGGACCTCTTTTGGGATCAGGGCATTTAGCTTCACGAGCCTTTTGGGCTTGCAGTTCTGTTGTTCCATGCTTACAGCTGTCCCAAAATCTTAAAGTTCAGGGCCGTGTGAAGTTTTTCTCAAAGGGCTTGTGCTGCAGCAAAAGCTTATGTCAAGTAAAAGGTTCTGGTCCAGCACTAGAGGCACAGGTTTGTACGCGAAGTAAAAAGGTACTTTTTGAGAACCTCTGTCGGACATTCTTTGCGGGCCAAGCATCTCCCGTCTCTTGCAGGTGCACGTTGCAGCAATTGCCCCAAGGGCACTTATCAAGCTAATACCTCGCAGACCCGGTGTCGGGACTGCTTGGCAGCGAGCTCGGACATGCTTGGGCTGCTTGGGTGTTTTCTGCTGTCCTCTCCATTTCGCAGCATTCAAGCCAGTGGTTTTGCGGTGTAGGAAACCCTCTGCTGAAGGTATAGGTGGCGCTGCTGTTGCTGCCGCTGCTGCTTCTGCTTTATTAATATGGGTAAACCCAAAAACATGTCCAGGGCTGCCAGTATGCCCTTGAACCTTTCACTCGGCTATTTGATGGTATTGCATAATGCCTACAATGAGCGACGCTAGGAAGACAGCAACAAACGATCTTGCAAATATTTGGCGCATCGCAGTCGCTTGATCAGCCACATGCAGGCCCTGCAAGCCTTCTGGCCGCATTCCCAATCACCATGAGCGCAAAGAATTTGTCTTGCAAACTACCTGCCCAGTCTATTTAAATTAGCAAAACAGTTCGTCTCATGAGCGTACGGTTTGACTCTTGGAGTTTTCGCCACCCCGCGGACCTTTTCACACATCCAAGACAAACAGTAAACCCAAGACCACTCACGTGCATACTGAGCAAGCCATGTCTTAGTTCCTGAGGCACCAATGACAACAAGCACTGTCGGGATGACGTCTGAGGCAGTTGTGATTTGCTTTCAGGGTGCAGGGAAATTTGGCGATCGTCCCCAGCGCTATCAACCGGGCTGATGTCTGGCTAGCAGCTTTGCGAGTGGTTTTAATGTGAGCGCAGCTTTTTCTGGGGTTCCTTCTCTGACAAGCCAGGTCTTCAGGTTTCAGCATCTATATTCAACTTGCTTGTGAACTGATGTGGGCATTGTGGGGGATGGTTGAGCACAAGCGCTCCGGCAAGTATTTCAAGGCAAACATCTGCCAAAGAAGTACCGGCAGCCCGTCAAAGCTGTTGGCGAATCTTATGCGTTGACAACTTCACCGAAAGAAAGGGAGAATAAGCCAGATTGGTGAACAAGCAACTCCATCTCGCTGCTTTCATATGCTTGCTGTCACTAGAACCATTGTCATAAGAATCATCCAACGAGTTTAACAATTGTCCCCACAGGATCAGTGCATCTGCCCGGCTGGAACTTACCGTGCCTGCCACGACTTCGACAGCGATGGCCAGCTCCGACCAGAGTGCCAATGCGATCCTCGGGCCCAGATGAGTTTTCAATAGAGCCAAGCGGTTGGAAGAGTCGGGAAGGCTGCCAGAGATGCTATTCAGGCGATATGGGGTGAGCGTTGGGTGCGAGAGTACGGTGCAAGGGTACGGTGGTAAGGTGCGACAATGCTTGATTATGGGAGGAGCCTTGCGTGAGCAGAAAGCATACCGTGTGAGTGCTTTTCGGAACCCTCTCGTGGTAGATATTTTTGCGGGATCACTCTAGTGTGCCATCCGTTTCCGCGATGATTTTGGGACACTGGGGGGTAGAGATTCAACACTTTTTGTCCGAAGCATGTGCTGCGGCAAGGGCAAACCATGCCTGTCATTTTTACCGGAAAGGGGTGGCGGACCCTACTCTCTCCGATTTATATCCATAAAAACCGTGAACCGGCGGCGTTTCCGGTCTGATGTTTGTGTTCAGGGTCAGGGAGTTGAACGATACTGTGGAGGCAGTATCTAGCTTTCAATGGTATTCCCTGACCCCTGGAAATTACATGGGGATATATCAGGGAGAGTAGAATCACCCACCTTTCCGGTACCCTTATTGTTTTCACGCTCAGATGGAAATCACAGGCATGGTTTGCCCTTGCCGCAGCGCATGCTTTTGGACAAAAAGTGATGAAACTCTAGAATTCTGACGTGTTGTCTGACGACCCCTCCGGAAAGATTAGAAAGTGTTTGGATTCGCCATCTGACCCTGCAGGTCTTCACCTGCATCTAGTTTTGGAGAGTGGGTTGACTCCCCCTAAGCTTACCACAGTTTTTGCCAACGTGGAATCTGTACCGATACCTACTTGCTGCAAACGTGACATCGTGCCATCCTCAAGTGTGCTTGAAACACCACACCCCTTCAAGCACATCCATGGCTCCCGACGTCTCTGGTTCTTGAAATCGACGACATCTCTGGGCCTTTCTCAATACTACCAGAGGGAAACCATCTTGCTTGCGTGGAGCACAAGTTTATCTGGCCAATGTCTTAGTCTACAAGTTCTCTTTCTCTACCACTTTGAACGAGGCAAGCCTTCTTTTAGTAGCTCAAGCATCAATGACAGGGTTGTGCAAAACTTGAATAAGGGTCAGCCTTCGCAGCCTATATATCGAGAGTAAGCTGCTTATTGTTATCGTCTTGAAGTATACAAGCAAGTTACTTGACAGCTACATTCCTACCCTCTAAGGTTTCCAGCAGTGTTGATGAGCCCCTAGTCAGACAGCCTTGTGTCTAGCCTTCTCTCAGCACAGCTTCCAGTGCCAAGCCAAGGACGCCTCGCTTTACCTACCCGCAGGGCAAGTGAATGCGCGCTGCCTTGAATGCCCTGAAGGCCCTCGCAAGCAGCTGCTACCATCTGCTAGCTTGTGGTTTACCGTGTGTAAGCAGCTTTTCTTGGTCTTCTCCTCCAACAAACATCCTTGCGTCAAGAGGCCGTGCATAAGCAGTGACGGGCGTGGCATGTGATAGCTGCGCAGAAGCATGACATTGTCGTTGTGCTGCACACCCTCACCTCTCAGAATTTGAAACATGCTCTGCACGGAACAGCTCAATGCATGTAAGCTGAGACTTGTAACCAGTCCAGCAATGCTGATACCTGCCACCCCTTTGTCGTCAATAATGTTGAGAAATGCGGCAGGCACTGGCACCGCAAATTTCGAGAAAATCCGGCCGTGTTGTGAATCCTGATAAAAATGGCTCTGTTTTAATGTTTTTTCTTTCAAGGTTTAGCCTCAAGCCAACTTGCACAACAGAACTCAATAATGTGTGCTTTGCATGCCCTTAAGTGATCGGCTCATGGGAGCAGCGAAGAAAAACCGAGCTGCATCAGTGAGTGTCTTTGTATGTGAGTCTTGCGCGTCATAACGTATTATGCCGTCCCTACAGCCTGGGAGGCATGACGTGTCCTGAGGGCTCGGACGAGCAGCCACTGTGGCAAACCCATGGGAGGGTTCTCAGTTCTTCTTTCGGTCCTGGGCTGTCTGGGCTATCAAATAGGCGTCATTCTCCCGGCATGGGCTGGGGTTCGCTTGTTTGGTAGAGGGATTTATGAACTGCTTTGGCAGGAGTTGATCACATCAAATTCGATATTGATGAAGCCCAATTTCTAGAAATTCCTTCCTGACACTGATGGCGTTGTCAGTGCTTTGACTGACATGCAGGCTGGCAAACACAAGCTTTGAGAACTGCCCACTAGGATACCAATGCCAGTAAAGTGTTTGGGCAGGTCCTGCACTCAAAGATGGCAACAGCCAAGGTACTTCCCCTGCTCATCAGAGGAGGGCTTGCTTGCACATACGGGCGTGATTCGGGATGCGTCCAATTTAATTTGGGTTTGCTGGCTCAGCTTCCAGGCCCAGCAGAGGTGATGCACCTGGCGTAAGGGCCATAATCGTAACTACTAGCCGTGCTGCAAGCATAAGCATAAGCAATAGTGACGTTTACTTAGGTTGATAGTTATTCTGAGCAAGTCTGAGCAAGTAATCTCATTTTGTCATTTGCGGGTCTTGAATCCAGGCTGGATGCACCCGTTCATGCACGTAATTACGTGAATGCTGCATGCAAACTTCGGCCTCATCAGCAGCCTGTACGAAAGCCTACAGCCATCAGCGCTGCTAGCGAGGAGTTGGAATCAAGGGCTGGTACAGAAGTCATCCGGGATAAACAAGGGATGTATGTACTCAGCCAAGGGGGGAGATGTACCCGACAAAGGAAAAGTCGTCTCGCCCCTATCTTAACATCCGAAAATCAACTCGCCTAAACATCCAGCAATCCATTTAAGGTATTCTGGATGGACATCATACGCATGAAAGTTTACAGCGCGTGCAGGAATAGCTGCACAATGCAGTGCCTGCAAATGAAATGCTATCTTAAACACAATCACGGAAACATACCTGAGGCAGCAGGGCTCCTCCAAAGCGGGTCCCAAAGGAGTAAACCACAGCTGCCGGGACCTTCAAACATGTGCCACACGATCCATGCAGTGAGGGCGTATACATAGATTGGGCACACGCGAAACGGAAAAAACTATCCAGACATGAATATTAAGAGGTTATGCGAAGACCATGCCGGGCATTAGCTCGGTACATGGGTGGCCGTGAAATCTTCAACAGAGATGCAAATCGTTCTTGCCTCACTCACTTCCAAAAGAACTGCCACGTCGAAATGATGGAGTCGGAGCTCAGGGACACAGTCAGAGTCGATGCCCACAGTCTTTACGGCTTCCAGCTCCATGGAAAAGCACTCCTCAAGGAACGGATCAATGTAGCAGCCGCAACCTTGGCAGCCAATCATGGGGCTCTCCTCATCAGGCTCCAAATGCTTGCCGCCAATGAGGCTCTTGTACTCGCTGGGCTTGAAGTCGGACAATCGCACGATGATGCGTTTCGGACAGGCGGAGGCAGCCAAGGTTGCCACACCCTCCGCAATCATGTTGATGTAGAACTCCTTGTGGTGCACCCCGAGCGCGTTGTTGATGACTTTGAGATAAAGGGAAGCAGCCACGGTTGCCACGCCCTCTGCAATCTTGTTGATGTAGAGCTCCTTGGGGCTAGTGTATCCCCCCACGCGCTGATCAACCAGCCCCTTGTTCTCAGCATCCAGGGTGTCGTAGTTCAACAGGGCCTTCTCGCCCAACCCGAACGCTGAAGTCCCGAAGACCACATCACGGAAGACGTTCCAGGGCCCCGCGCGAACATCACACCGGCGGAGCCAGTCTCGCTGCGCACCATTCCATGGTAGGCGCACAGCTGCACTTTCTCGTGCTCGAAGACGCGTTGGTAGCGGTACGAGATTGCTTGCTCGGCAGACAAGGAGGCAAACATAAATTGCACCTTCGCCTTCATGTCGTCATAGCCCATGACATTCAGGCAAGTCTCCTTCATGACCTCTGGGAACCGGCAACCGGCTCATGGCGTACCCCTATTTCCCTCTGCAGCTGGTGTTTCGGGCCCTGAGCAAGTAATCAGGCGAATGCGATGGCATTGATGGAGGTGTTTTCCATTCAGCCTGCTGCGTGCCATCATGCTAACCAGCTACTGGAAGCGGTCAGTGTGCAATTCGCCCACCCCAGCTTCCAGCCTAAACGGATATCAGGTGTGCTGATGCACTTCTAGCACAGGGACTACTTTGCAGGGTATGGCAGACCTCACTACCCTTCCGTCGTTAACGCCGTGGTAGAATGCAGACCAGTAGTACAATTGAGCACGGCCTCTGACCCCGACCAAACAGACAGATTGTCCGCAGTATTCCGCTCTGGAGGTTGGAGTGTCTCCATCATTAACAAGAATTTGACAGCTTTAGTTAGAAGCACGAGATTCCAGGATTTCGCGCTGGCAGGTGTAGGATGTCGATCCCGTTCCTTCCGGCAGCCGCTTAAACTCCAAACGCGTGAGTCCGTTAATTTCTTGTGCGCACCGCACAATAATCGCGCTGTGCTGGTTACACCACAACGCAATGCGCAGTAGACTACTCCTTTTGAGTTTGTCATCTCATGTCATGCCATATTATTCACTCTCGTCTACATGGGCTGGCGGTCTGAGTACGAGTACCGAATTCGCTAAGTAAGAATATTGAGAATGATGCCGCGCATAACAGGAATCCAATTTCTATGCAGTAGTGACAGGTGCTGTCAACAAAGGAAACGTAGGCTTTTCCCCAATCTGAGGTCAACAAACTTTGTTAGTAGTGTGCTGAATGTGTCGGTAGAGAGTTGCTCCACGAGGAGATTATGAACTCCACGGCGTTCGCTTATCCAGTCCCCCAGGACGCGTGGGAACTGGTCGAAGTGAGCCTTTCAGACGGAAAAGAAAGCATTGCAGGAAGCCTTGAGCATGCAACATGTAGTTAGGATTGCCCATAGCAAGCAAGCACATGCTAGATCCTTCAAGCAGAAGGTGCAATAGTCATGTCATTCGTTCGTATCATTGCTCAGTTCAGGGGACCCTGATCGTGCCAGCGTCTAGATGCGCCATGAGTAAGTCCAACATAAGGTATGCGTAAAGGGAAACACTGGGTGATGTGTGAGAAACAGTTTTTTTTTTGCATGATCAGCTAGCCTTTATTCATGGCTGGTAGAGTCAAGGTGTGCAGTGGGAATCATGGGGTGTGGCATGAAGCTTGCAGGAAGGCTATTTTGTCGACTGGGATCGGCCTCTGTGGGTGTTCAAGAAACTTGGCATCAACGGCAGGGTTCCGTTGTGTTGAGCTTCAGGGTTTGAGACTCTTTACACAACTGCAAGTCCAGCTAGTCATCCACCTACCTGTCGACTCTTTGCGGACGTTGTTATCGAAGTGACGTCTCCCTTTCTGCTTGGAGAAGCATGTTGAAAAAGCCAAGCTTTGTGCACTGGAAGATGGCTGCACGGCATCTTGCACAATTGAAGTCTGTGGACGAACTAGGCTTCTGGCACTGAGGCAACGTCAAGAACAAACGACATGAACATATGACACAACCTGTTGTCTCCGGCATTCCGCATGTTGCTGCCATGCAAAGCAAGTAGCGTGGCCCACAGCGTATTTTATTCAGCGCAAGGCTATTATCAACCCACAGCCCAAATTGCCAGCTGCATTGGGAAAGAGGTGTATTGACAAGCTCTCCTGCCCGGGTGAGTTTGCCTCGCACTGCGGCGAAGGCGTGGAAAGCAGGGACAAGGACAATTATACCATTTGTGAGACAAACAAATGGTATGATGCAGTTTGTTGGTACTTCTTAGCCTTTATATGTATCAGTTCTTGTTCTTTGTGTGCGTGTGCTGAACCTTGGGGCGTGTAGAGCTTGTGACAGTACGCTGTGATTTTGAGGGTGCTTCACCACAGGTTTGTAGTTGGCTGTTGAGGGCCGAAATCATGATCCAATGATCAGTGCATCTAGGCATTCCTCGCTATGTGTTTTATCGAGAGTTTTGCGCCATATCTTGTCGAGCAAAAAATGGAACCATTCAAGATGAGCAACTTCTCCTTTCCAAATTTACATACAGGGGCCCAAAACCAGGGTAAACTTCCCAGAGAGGCCTACGTCATTCATCCAAGGACTGCTCTTTTGTGGATTTACTTCTGTTGGCTCTCTTGCACTTTCTGCCAAGTTTGCTGGTGCGATGCTGGCTGAAGAGAATCCTTTCGTGTCAGGCTTGCAGGGCGCAGCATGTGGGGCGTGTGCAGCGGGCTACTACAAGCAAGCAGGCACGACGTGCCATGCGCCACCTTTGCCATGCAGACTTGAAGGAGAATAAAAAAAAGAACAAAGATTTGCGTGTAAGTCCTGGTGCATGCGACTCTAGGGTTGAAGAATGAAGGGATGGAGCAAAATGACCCTGCAAGAGTAGCAGAGTCAGATGGCGGGGCTTCGGGATTTCATCATTCTGAATCTGGATACCACTGATTGTCGCATCTACTATGAGATGGCACCTCAAGGCTCTATACGAACGACGCATCGCTCTTCCGTCAACCTTCTACAGGTTGCACAGTTGTGATAGACAAGCCACGGTCTGGTTTCTATGTTTTCCGTGGTTCTATGGTTGCTGTGGTTTCAGGGTTCCCACCCAACGTAGGTAACATTTATGGAGTGTAGGGCCCAAAGGGATGGTAAATAACGCGCCCTAGACATCTGGGGCCTGCACTTTGGAATGATCCCTGGACTAATGGGCCGAAGCTTGGACTAATGGCGCGAAGACAACATTAAATCAGAACTCCTCACGCTCATGGACTAATGCGTAGCTTAGACTAATGGGGCGAAGCTTGGACTGATGGGGCGATGATCAAATTAGATATCTTGTGTTCCAAAATGATCCCATTCTGGTATCTGTGTTCCCAAATGACGCTGATTGGTGCTCCAAACTGAAGCTAGTCGGTGTTCCAAAATGACTTTGATCGGTGTTCCAAAATGACGCCAAATCGGTGTTCCCTCACCCATGCAGAAGGCATCAGATATTTCAAATAAACAGATGTTTTGGGCAAATGTCAAGGTTGCGCCGATTGCGAGCCTCGAGCTGTTCGAGTACCATTCTAAAAAAGATCTAGGGATGCTCTGGCACCTTTGTTTGGGTTTCTTTGCCAGGAAGCTGCCACAAGTGTGGGGACTTGGAGAAGAATCCACTCTTCCTTATCATCCCGCAGCTGGGCTCTTCTTGTCTATATGAGAATGGTGCTGAACCAGTTAGTCTGACCAGCGATTTCTTGTGACCGCTTGTCCTCCATTTATCGTGCACCAGGGACCCAGCTCACCTACCCCACGTACATCCCGGTCCAGCTGTTCATGAATTGGAATGACCGCGGGATGCGCTCGAATGGTTCACAAGCCTGACCAAGCAGTTGAGTAAGGGTTTGCAGTTTTGCGGGCAGATGGCCAACGGCAGCTAGCTTCCGCAGGCTAGGAGCAATACTGATCCATGTCCGAGTTCGGGAGTTGGGGCATCATGTGGAATGCTAAGGATGATCCTGTCACCGATTCCTGTGACACTTGGCTTGTTTTTGAGACTGGAATGCTGAGGTCTGAGAGGCTCAAGTATCCATTATTGCATTGTTCATCTGAAGTCCCCCTTAATAGACAGGAACCGTCGCTTGTGAGTACGACGGCCCAGCGAGTTTGCATAGTGTAGGCGGAACGTTTCTGTGCCAGCCAGGCCCTTGAGAAGTTTCCAAAGATTGTGCAAGCAAAGCTTGAGCTGTGTTGGCGCTCTTATGCCATCCTGGGGAGCGCGCAGCACTGTTGACTGGATCAAGCGGAGCTCACAAAATCCCGCTGGTCAGAAACGGTTGTTCGCCACTGGCTGTAATCTTACTTCATCAGCTACCTTCCCGAGACTGCGAGCAGGCCAGCTTTAGGATGTCGGCAGCAACCTGCCTCTTTTTTTTACAAAGTAGAAAAATTCTAGAACAAGTCTTCTGGAAACGTCCATCCGGAAAAAAGTCCTTGCGGCAAAGTCTTCGGCAGAGTCCACAACAAGTCTTGGGCAAGTCGAACAAGAGCCTTGGAATAAGTCTAGACAAGTCTTTCGGATGTCTTAGGGCAGTGGGAGGTGTGGCCAAGACTTTTTCGAGACGTCGTTCGGGACCTTTGTTTCCAGGCTTAATCGAAGTTTTTTCCTTACGAAAGTCACCAAAAGTTTGAATGCGTCGGGAAACGTCTCGAAAAGGTCCATGCGCAAAAACATATCGAACAGTATCTACAAAAAGTCGTCAGGGCCCCAACGTTCTACAGACAATATCTAGACTAGGTTCGAGAATTTTGGAATTGACAAACTTGGTTTGGAGATTGGCAGGAAAGTCTGATAGGGTTTTTAAAAGTCACCTATCGTTGGCTTCTTTGCCAATGCATCAGTTTGTAGCAGAATAGAGTTTAAACTAGACTCCCCGCATGATAAATCTAGCTCTGCTGTGCTTGAGAATCTTTTGCTCAACGCCGTCCGCCTCAGCACGGCGGTACGCACCATGGTAGGGGGTTGTGGAGGTCGGGCGGTTGGGCGGTTGGCGGGGGGCTGGACGAGGGGGGTGGGTATGAGGAGGGCAACAGGGTGTCTCTGTAGTCGGAAGGCCAAGGTGAATTCCTTCACCTTGTGTGCCAAGCCGTGCATGCTCTGAATTGGCACCGGCGGGCTCCTTCTAAGCTGCTCCCTGGAGTGGAACTAAGGTTCATCTTGCACAAGGTGCGCGGGTTCCTCATCCCCCTGCCCTTTGACTGCTCCTCCTCTCTTCATTTGGAGTGTGTGGTTAATGGGTCTGGAGTCTAGTCTTGGAGGTTCTGCGATGGTTGGTGATTTTCTTCCTTGGCTTCAATTGACAGCAAGGCATTGTGTGATGTGCATGTATGCCTTATCGTCGTGGCTCCTGCAAACCTCTCTCTTTGGTCGATCCCGAAGTTGTTCAGCAAAATGCACAAGAAGATTCCCCTTCGCTCCGTGCGCAGGTGTCTCAGGATGACGTGTCCAAGTGGGGCAAGACGACACAAGGTGCGACATGACGCTGTTGAGCTCGAACATCCCAGCCCTCACAGCGTGGCACATGATTCTGTTTTGTGTGCACAGACAAC